TAATAGGAATTAATGAGCAAAATGATAAAATTCAGCATCATAATTTTTTTAAAAAAGAAAATGGGCCAACATCATATCATAGGGCAATCTTAGTTCTATTCAGATTGTCCAGCTGTGGCTTTTATCTCTCTGCTGCATGCCAGGACAGGTCCATGTGCCCCCATGACCTCCCAGGGTGGATGTTAGATGCATTCTGTTGCTTTTTACATCACAAGATCAGAGTGTGTTAGACAACCTTTAATTTGAGAACAAAATTTTACTTTGATGTCCACAGAGAAGGAATAATTTAATGCTGCCTTTGACCATCTGCTCTCTAGAAGAAAATGCAACTGTTGCTAATGAGAACCTGCCTTGACGTAGAAAATACCCAATCAATCAGTTTTCTTCTAAATCTGTATGTCCCGTCATGTACACTAATCTTTCCAAATAATGGCGATCCAATTTTCAGTCCACTGGTTAGGGGAGAGAGGGTCAGGGAACCCTTCCTCTCCCGTGACTCTCTTTTGAAACTGTAACTTTTTAAACAGGTGAGGGGAAGCAGAAATGAATGTTGGAAAGTTCCAGGAGAACTCTAGCATGAAAGCCCTGCAAGTGTCTGTTAAATGGTCTTGAACTGTTTTGTAAATGACCCAGGGAGATCATTTCAATGTCTGCCACTCTGTTATTGAGTGTTTCCCTGAAGGAGAGAACAACATTCTGCAGATGATGACTTTTGCAACTCTCAGAACCAGTTCCCATAAAGAAAAACCTCCACGGGAGCATGGCTAGGGCCCCTGCAGCAGGGAAAAGGCAAAAACAAAAACCAGAACAAAAATGAAAAAGTGACGCTCCTTTTAGATGAAAACCTTCATGAGGAAGAACAGAGATGCTTTAGTTCTGCAATTCCATTTGAGGAACATAAATTTCTCCATGATAAACAGTACAGAGAAACAATATAAAATGAAAAAGAGTCACCTAAACTAGCCGAGCTGCAGGAATTATGCATAGACTTGAGGAATCCATCATTCATCCACAAAAGATTATTATAAATCTTGTCTTATAGAGCAATCAGGCAGATATTAAGAATTAAATAAAATATGCAATTCCACATAGTGAAGCCAGAATTTACACTCAGGCTTATCTGATTTCACAGTCCTTTTCTTCTTAGATACACAGTACCCATTTGCAAACTCAAAACCAAAGTGATATGGGAGTCACTTAAATTTTCAGTTCATACCTAGTAACAACAACAACAACAACAACAACAAAACAGTGATAATGGTGTAAAATGGCTTGGAAAGATCATTCCTGGGAAGTTTTGTGGGAGAAATTTCCTCCTGCCATGTCATTGAGGGCTTAATGGTCTTTGACTGTGGTAAGTACATATGCAGACACACTATTTTTATTGTGCTGTTATAAGTAAACTTCATAAATCATCCTTGACCTGGATGTCTTCAGAGAGGTATTACCTAATTCAGGGTCTGAGATGCCATGTAAGTGATGGTCCTTGGCACTACTCTGGGGTAAGTAGCATTTTTGACCAGAATGAATAAGAAAGGGGAAAGTGTGCTACAGCCATTAAGAAAGGGAATAAGAGAGCAACATGAATAAGTTTTCTGACTTACATAGAATGGAAGATTTCCTTGAAAGATGATCATTACTATGATTAATACTGAATAATACTTGAGACCTGGCTACAAAACTGTCCAGATCCAGATAGGTTCCCTGATGAAAACAAACAAACACTAACAAATACTTAATATCAATCTTTTTCATATTCTCTATGAAATTCACAGAAAAGATAATCCTTTCCAACAAATCTTATCAGGTCTCAGTTGCTTTATTAATCCACACAAAAACAAAAATACCTAATGTCTTTCATGAACAGAGACAAAAAAATCTCCTTAAAAATATGTTATCAAATCAAAGCCAAAAGTATATAAGTAGGATAATACAGTTTCTCAATTAGAATTTTTCTAGCAATGCAACTGAAGCTTAACATTTAAAAATCAACTAATTAATCATAATAACATCATAAAGGAAAAAGATTTCAATAAATGAAGAAAAAATTCAGCACCCATTCGTGATTTTAAAATAGCACCCAGTAAACTAGTAATAGAAGGAAAATCTTTCAACTTAAGAAAAGGGCATCTATGAAAAGCTTTCATACTAAATGAAGAAAAGTGAGTAATTTTTCCTAGGATTTGGAAAAAGATAATGAAATCTTCTCTTCAACCTTGTATTGGAGTTTTTAGCCAATATAAAGAGAAAATAAAAATAAGTAAAAGGCATACAGATGTATTCTGTTGAGAAGAAAGTATTGCTCATAAATAAAACCCTAAGGGATTCACACACACACACACACACACACACACACACACACACACACACACACAGAAGAACTAAAATGATTTTGGCAAGACAGAGGACACAAACCCAATAAATAAATCTAGTAATAAATAAATGGAGAGTTTAACTGCAAAATAGAAATTTCAATAGCAAAAATATGTATTTTTACATACATTTGATAAAAGGTAGACAAAATACATATCCTGAAAACCATGAAACACTATTGAGAACTATTTAAAAGGATCTAAATAATGGTAGATATTCACTGCATTAGAAGATTTAATATTGTTAATATGGCACTTCTCTCAAAATTCATCCATGGATTTTAGACATTCCAATCACCTTCAGAAAACAGAACTCTTTCTTCTTTTATGTAGAAATTGAAGTGCTGGTTTCATTTTCTTTTTTCTTTTTTTTTTTTTTTTAAGGCAAAGGATCTGTCATCACCAAAACAAGTGCTTTTTTTTTGGTTAAAAAAAAGAAGAAAGTGGAAGACTCAGCTTATATAAAGACTTATAATATGAGAAATGGAAAAACATGGAAACAAAGTCTTTGTAAACAGGGAAGGGTGAAGGGGGTGAAGGGAGGGCTGGGGAATGAGGAAAGTATAAGAACCAAGATAAAGTCATGGAAAGGTACAAGATCCCAATGATGATTGCAACTGTATTGTATACCCAAAATGTACCGATAAACTTAATGGAAAAAAAAGACTTATAATAAAGGTGCCCTGTGTGTTTATGTACACATAAAATGTGTATAACTGGATGCATCCCAGAAGACTAGCCTGAGCAATACATTTTAAAAGTGTTATTTATTCATACACATTTTAGACATTTTAAAAGGGTCTGGGAGGGAATCTTTCAGGTCTCTAAAACATGTTATAGAATCATGAAGAGATCTGGTAGGGTATCATTTAATGGCCAGAAAAGAGAGGATAACTTTTCAAAACAAAGAAGCAGCTAGACATAGAAGAGAGTCATCAGAAAGAAGCACATGAACGATGAGGCTGTACAGCTTAATATTGCCAGAAGATCAAGCAGGAAAAGGTCAGGAAATTGTTCTCTAGAAGTCACTGTTGACTTTGGTGGATGCTGTTTCATTGTAGTGATAGAATTTAGAGCCAGAATAAAGTGGGCGGAGGAGTTAGTAGCAGAGGGGTGAGAACACAAAGATGATAAATGCTAAAAAGCTAGTAATGTCTATCGGAGAGCAGGAGACCAGTGCTGAGCTGGCAGCTGGGCAGGTCTGAGTGTGTGGGTGACACTTTTTCTTAGCACCTAACAAGTGTCTGCTCTGGGAGGGCAAGCCCCAAGTCTCCCTGGCTTCTTATCCATTTCATCCTAACAGAGTACCACAGATGTCTGACGGGGACTGACAATCTTACGTGAAACAAACACTTCCACACATTGCTCTGCTTGGCGGGTATAATGGCACATTTTCTGGTCTCTTACACTCGACAACAACATTCGAGGGCCATGAGTCTCAACCCCCAGTGACTTTTTCCCATTATGCTTTATGTCTCCGCGCCTTTATCCATCGCTGTTGGTCACTTGGCACCTGCGGTCAGAATGCAGATCCACCTGCTGAGTTCCTAGGGTGAGGGTCGTAAGAATTCCCTTTGTCCCTTATTTTAATTTCATGCTCACAAGATGATGTGTTTAATATCACGGTATTCATTTTAACTTCCATGGGAAGAAATGTTTAAGCAACAATGGCAGCAGAATAAGTTTGCACAAGAGCTGGGAAACGGATGTTTTATCAAAGTCATTAGAAACTTGAAACATAGTCTCAGACTCAGATTTACACTGCAGCTCACTGCACGGTGTCACATAGCAGGAGCTGAATAATACCTGTAGGATGGATGGGCAGATGGGCAGGTAATGATGAAGACTTCAGTGTTGAATTATCTGAACACTGAACTGGAAAGAATGCTGACAGCTGCGCACGGAGTCTAACTAGGCGAGGCTAAGAAGTTCCTAAGGGCATCGGTGTTGAAGGACTGTCTGTGGAGTTCTCAGAGAGCAGACTGAGTCATATTGTCGAAGAAAGAATTTGGTCAATTGATGACAGCAAGGTAAAAGCCAAGTCTTTCAATGAGGCTGACAGATCTCGAGAAAGACAAGGACGCGACATTTGCTCTCTAGTAATCTTAAACTTGCAATTCGAAAGTACTTAAAAGAGATTCTCTACGCCTCTGTAATTTTAAGCAAATAGGACAGGGCCTTCGTTCCATGGGTCATTTAATGCAGCCTTTGGCACACATAACCTTATAGCATGGTTTAGAAATACAACAGTTGGAAATCAAGAGCCCCTCCAGGGAATTCTGCATAATTACCCATTTGGGCTTAATTTATTGTCTCTGCTGAAGGGAGCTCAGGTGAACTTGCCATTCTCTATAGACTCCAGTCTGTTTTGTAAATGTTTTCATTTATTTTTTATCTTATTGAGTTTATTGGTACTTTTTAGGTATACAGTAGAGTTACCTTCATCATTGGATCTTGCATCTTTACATGACAGGTCTTGGTTCTCATTTTTTCTCCATACCACTGCCCTCCCTTCACCTGTTCCACCTTCCTTGTTTACAAAGACTTTGCTTCCATTTTTTCCTTTTCTAAAACTTTTTCTTGTCCCTTATTTCTTTTCCCCTACCCTTCCCACTTCCTCTACACCTTTAGCCCTTTTCTTCCTATTTCACATTGTCAATTATACAATTTGGATCTTATTTATACTTTTAGTTTTTCATACCAAGTGGTTTGGTATTTACACATGTGTTGCCTATTTATTTCACTTAAGAGTATGGCCTCAATATGTAAATGTTTTCAGTTTCACAACCAAGCAACCTTTTTCTCATTTCACATTGTCAATTATACAATTTGGATCTTATTTATACTTTTAGTTTTTCATACCAAGTGGTTTGGTATTTACACATGTGTTGCCTATTTATTTCACTTAAGAGTATGGCCTCAATATGTAAATGTTTTCAGTTTCACAACCAAGCATTTTACTACAAATCTCCTGCATCATGTGACTTACACAGGAAACTTCCTCCAAAGGGATGTGGATGGTTTGTAAACCTGTAATATAATTTGAGTTTATTTTAGAGTTTGGGAAAATGGCAATTACAAGCTTAAATAATGTAGCAATAAAACTGGGATTTGGTCATCATCTATTTATTAAAAATATGCTTTGAATTCTCTCTGTCAGGCACCGTGTGAGGGTTGGGAATACAACAGCAACAAGGTGAATCCATGCATGACCCTTACCATGGCTTTAAAGGTTGTTCATTTGTACATAAGTGAAAAAGCAAATCCAAACTTCTATTGTATATGACATACACAAATGTGCAAAAATATGGACTAGAGAATGTTCTTAACGCGGAACATTTTTAGTCAGAATCTCCATCTCAATTTAAGTCTCTTCATTCCTATATGCTCATTCAATATTTTTCCCTCTGAATATTTTTTTTCTAAAAAAGTGTCCCTGAGTAACTGGACAACAGACTCTCCCATGTTCTCTTTTACTCTTTAAACCTTCTCCTGTCCTTGTTTTGTACAAAACGTTTTACTGATTAAGTGATATGCGCAGAGCATGTGCTAATTGGAGGGGTACAAAGATGGAGCCCAGAGGGTACTGTCTTCCTCTAACAGAGCTAGAGGAGGAAGACTAGAAAACAATCATTATAATACTAATTTCAAGTGCTATGTAAGAGGTGTATTTTGGTAAAAAAATGTCATATTCAACAATTCAATACACGATCAGTTAGAAATATAACCAGAACTATTTGAAAATCCAAATAACAATATATACTAAGGTATTTAAAGTATTTCAAGGTATTTTATGTAGTGAGCACTTTCTACATTTCAATACATCTAAAGCAGGTAACAAACCTGTGAGGTCAGCGCTGTACAATCCCCTTTAAAGATGATGAAAGAGTGACAGAAATAATATGAATCATTGACAAAACTCCTATAACTACGAAGTGGCCTGGTCAGAGTGTAGGTGTAGGCGCTCTGCCCCTTGCATGTGTATTTTTTTTTTTTACTTTTCCAGGCTACATCATTTCAGATTAGCTATCCGCAGTGTGTAAGGAGACCCCCATTGCCCTGCTGTGCTCTTATCACGGAATAAATACCTCTGTTCTTCATGGTTAAGCTAAACACACCAAGTGTTCTGGCTGAGGAAAAGGAAGGGGATGCAACCCCTGCCAGTTCAGGGTAGACATTTTCAGAGATCTGAACAGCTCTTCCAGCTTTTTTCCCTTTTCTCTCTCCAGAGCCAAGATGTGCTATTCCTTCAGGCGAGAGCCACAGCTGACCTGGCACTGACACAGCTATTGTCGAGAACCATATGAAGTGGTACCCGGATTCATGAACCCCTTTCGTCCCACGATTCTGGGGAAGATGGCCGCGGTCATGTTTGTCACCCGAGGCGGAGCTCGCGAACCGAAGCAAAATGTTGCTGAAGGCTTCCGTCCCAGACCCTCCAGTCTCCTCCAATTCCGCCTGGCCGTCCTGTCCAGGAGCAGCTGACACAGACTGAAATGTGAGCCTGAATTGACCTTGCCTTCCTTTAAGTTGTGGGTTTGGGGGTACTGTGTCTCGGTAACTGAGAAAGCGACTGAGACGGTACATGATGTTTGTTGAATGAATCGCTGAGCGAAGGAACACAAATCTTTCCTGACACAGAATCATCTACCAAAATGCAGTAACCCAAACTCGGATATATAAACAGTTTTTCAAATTCTAAATTCTGCCTGATTCTTCTATTCTTCCGAAAATAAGATCTTTAAAGCTGAAGATGTAGCCCATGTACTAAAATGTATTCTAGAAATGGCATGCGCATAACCTCCTAGATTTACAGTCTCCGAAAGCTTTAAAGGAATATGCTATGTCTCATAAAAACTGAAGTTAATAAGTGACTCCTAGGCAAAAATCAGCTCAATCACTGAGATTCAATTTTGGTTATAAATGTAAAGCCCGCTAGGCAAGGATTGAAACATTCCTCCAAGAAATCAAGGAGCATTCCCAAGGATAGAGCCTCACTGATTGAGAACAAATAGTCCTTTGATGAACATATTATGTTGATTCCAAGCATTCTTGAACTTTGCTTTTAAAATCCTAGAGAAAGCACAACCAAAATATTTGAAATTACATACCTGTCTGCACCAGAGTTTGCGGAATATCTGCAGATAAGCCAACACCATGAGACACAGAGGGGCTATGTAGGTGACCAGAAAGAAGCAAGTGTGATACATCTTGGGGTAAATTTCACCTGCGATGAAGGTCAGAATAATAAAAATCTCACATTAAAATTCACAGATATTCCCAAAAGCAAATTTTGTCAATGCATTCCCTTCAAAGTATTAATTTACCTTCTTTATGGCTTCATTAGCATAATATGATCACAGATGGAAAAATAGCTTACAATATTTGGCTTTCTGCTTACTCGGGTTACATCAAAACCATCTATGATGAGGTTTTAATGTTAGCTGATGTGCTCACAAAGAAATAACAATTAGCCATCTCTTAATTTACGCTACCACAGTCTATCCAACATGCAGTGTGATTTATCAAAAGTTCTATTATTTGGCTTGACTATATCTGACTAATTAATAAATATTAATTTGCATTGTTTATTTGCATTTATAAAAAAGGGCATAACTCAATCAAACCTTAATGGCCAAATCTTTGGTTAAATGGGAGAAAACAGAAATTCAACTGATTCTATTTCATGAAATTCAAGTTCTCTGACAAATGGGAAGCCATTTCTAGTTATACCTCCAAATGCAAATGTGAAATATTTTGGAAACTAAATATAATAAGAAGTTGTTGAATCTGTTCATTGACTTACAGAAACACACAGAGAATTTCTCTAAGCATTTTGCATGTCTGCATGTGTATACGGGTATCTGTGTATAGTTTGTTTTTTGTTAATCTGTGTATAGTTTTAAGAAATGAAGAATTTTAAGGCTTTTTAAAGTTAATTCTTAACTCATTTTTATATAGCTCTCATATTAGAAATAAGCATTTCTTGAGTTGCAGTAATTTTAAAATTTATTTTTAATACTAAATGCATGAGGGTGGGAATTTTAAAAATAATCTTTTAAATTAGTGAGATTATGGGTTTGTATTAATATTTAAGTGTTTCTAAATACATCTACTAAAATTTTTCTTTGTGGTGTTAGGGATCAAACACATGTTTGTGCTTATGCTAGGCAGGAGCTCTGCTCTACCATTGACTCTTTAAGTACTTAAATATCACTGTCTAAATGCACACAGTCTCTCCCTTCTTACTGTAATGAAAAGTAGGAAACAGGAGAGCCTACTAAGTTCCATGGATACTCAATCCTAATGGAATCTAACAGAACAAAGGGTAATTTTACTTATTTGTCTTAAATCACATACCACATTATTACTGAGAGATGACATTATCATCTCTGTGCATTTTTTCCCTTTACTGTATGAAGATGAAGTCTGGATTTATGTGACTAGATTTGTGATAAGGGCAAGTGATATTCAGGATTTACCAATAAGACAAATGGTAGCAATTTTAACCATACACAGTGTTTGCTTTGTAATGGTGGATTTAATTATTAGTAAGTACCTTTAAAATATGTCTATAAATTTCCTTGGTAATCCTGGAGTTAATTCTTACTGAATCATTTATTTTAAAAAAAAATTTGGGGTACTAGGAATTGAACTCGGTCCTTATGGCTTGCAAGGCAGGCAGCAGAACCACTGAGCTAAATCTCCGGCCCTTAAATTTATTTATGAATTTATATCCTTCATACTTTTAATTCCGTAGTTTGTGATTTGGAGTTGGCTGAGTTTTAGTCTAATTTTCTCTACATTCTTTTTTTGGAAGCAAAACATTTATTGGTATATTTTAGAAATACATAATGATAACACTCATTGTAGGGAATTTGTATTCTGACTTCTGAAACTGTTTCTTCTCTCCATGGAAATCTTCAGAAGGGACACAGGCTGCATGTGGCTAGGAGATCCAAGAGATGGACTGAGGCATCATTTTTAGCCTTTCTCTGCCCAGAAGACACCTGCCTCATCAGTTTCTAGCTTTCTTTCAGATTATCCTGCAAACCAGGCCACTTACATAAAAAGAGATAGAATTCAAGCAGTCTGTCTAGAGGAACAACAAATAACATTTCCCTTTGAAGCACTCCAGCCAGAACCACATTTGCTGGGCCAACTTCAAAGGCACTGGAAGCGACTTCAGCACATTCCAGGCACCTGTATGGCTTTGAACTTTTATTTGTTCTGAAGAAAGTGACACATGAGCTTTCCACATAAAAAATGCACCTTTGAAGCTTACATGTCTGTGAGACCCTAATAACTGTGTCCAACTAGACAAAGGGAGCAGAGGAGGGTAGATTTCAGAGGTCAGTTTGTTTTTACCAACTACAGCTCTGGATACCATCATGTGTTAATGGTTGGAAGCTCTGAGAAGACGGAAGGGAAAGAAAGCTCAGTCTGAGGATTGAAGTGATATGTTTATAAATAGTTTGGAAAATGCGTTGCAGCCAGGAAATGCATATTATGATATGAGCACTCATATGGAGAAAAGTTGACCAAGCAAAATTACACTTGTGGGTTAGAGTGTTTTAATAAGGACACTGTGATAGGCTACTGGAGAAATATGATAGACTTGAATTTTTCATTCCATGCCTACAGTATACGCTAATTTAAATTCCAGATGTGCCACTGAAAATTTAAATTGTGTGTTGCAGATACCTTTGAAGATTTCTGCACTTGATAAGCAATGCCTTCGATATATTTTTGATACTTATGTATGACCTTGAATTAACTAATAAAGTCTGTTTCACTTGAGCACTACTTCAATCAGGAAAAAGCTGTTTGAAGATTTACAGCTGGTGAATATCTGTGTCTGTACTTAACTAATAGCAAGTACAATCTCAATAAGTCACTACACATGTGTGTGTGCGCGCGTGTGTGTGTGTGTGTGTGTGTGTGTGTGTGTGTGTGATCAACAAATAAGGAGCAAATATGACTATTTAAATAGTCTTTGAAATCAAAGAGTAATTTCATATATTGGACAGAAAAAACTTAATTTCCCCATCGTTCAACTAGCATCTTACACTAATTACCTAAAAATTGCAAATCTTTCTCCTTCATGCTACATTTATCTTGGATTGACTAGACAAGTAGATTAAAGATAAGTTACTAGTATTCAATTTGACTTTCCTTTAAAAGTTTATGGGTCTGTTAAATTTAATGAATCTGTAACATGCTTTTAATCCTCTTCCTTAGTAAATGTTTAACATTTCCAATTAACACACTTGTGTGTGTGTGTGTGTATTTAGATGCCTTCAAAATCTCAAAATAGGCCAGATGTCATAATTATAATCACTTTCAAAGAGTTTTCTTAAATGACTTCTGAAAGCTGAGTTTAGATCTTTAGGTATTCAGTGATAATTGCTTATTACAAAGAAAATGTACATGCTAGAGTTGCATCATAAAATACTAGGAGTACAAATGAACTTTATGAATTTATCCTTATTGTTTAAAATTAATTTGAAATAATGTGCCCATTAATCATAATCATTGACAAGAGTCTGTATCTTTGCAATATTTTTGTTAATAGGAGTTAACCTGGGCCAGGGATGCAGCTCAGTTGTTCTGCCACCTGCCTCTCAAGTACAAGGACCTGAGTTCAATCCCCAGTACAAAAAAAGAGAGTTAATCTGACTGGATTAATTAGGGCATAAAAAGTTTATTTTATATTTTATAAACATGTAAATTAATGAAAGTAAATCAGCATAATACTTTAGAAAAATACCACTGACATATATTAAATAATAATAAGTATTTTCTCTAATTTCAGTCTTTGTAATCTTAAAAGATTCCAAATTCTGGGTTGGAAACTTTACATTTTTGTGGATACATTTCTTTATCATCTCGAACAAATAATTTATTCTCTTTAGAGACTAGTTTGGTCATGAACTAAGGACTCTGAGAGATTTTAGACTGTTTTCCAAAAATAATTTATCATAGGGAAAATGAATGAGAAATTTACAGTCCATCCTTGACCAACCTTCTTTCCAAATTCAGTTCTTTTTTTTTTCAGCTTTAATTGAGTTTATTGGTACATTTTAGGGATACAGTACAGTTACATTCATTGTTGGGATCTTGTACCTCTACATGAATGACAAGTCTTGGTTATCCTTTTTTCCCCTTGTCCCTGCCCTCCCTTCACCCCCTCCTCCCCTCTCCACCTACAATCACTTTATTTCCATCTTTTCATTATCTCACATTTTTTTCTTTGCCCTTATTACCCTTCCCCTACCCATCTCACCTTCCCTACACCTTTAGCCCCTTTCTTCCCATTTCACCATGTCAGTAATCTTATTAGGATCTTCTGTATTATTGCAGATTATTCACACCAGAGAAACTATTTGGTATTTACACATGTGTGACTTATTTATTTCACTTAGGAGTATATCTTCAATATGTATCCATTTTCCTATGAATGAATCTATTTTTCTCGTTCTTTATGGATGAGTAATATTCCATTTTATAGAAAAACCACATCTCCAAATTCAATTCTTTACACAATACCTTCCCCTGTGGCCCAGAAGCTACATGTCCTGACCTTCTTAAAATGGGTAGATTTTCTTGCTTCTTGAAAGTCCCCTCTCCCTCTTTCTGTCTGAAGAACTTCTGCTCAACTTCTTTATTTTGTTTGTTTGTTTGTTTGTTTGTTTATTTATTTTTGGTATAGGGGATCAAACTTGGGACCTTGTGCTTGCGAGGCAGGTGGAGGCACCTCTGAACTAAATCCCTGGCCCCTTCTGCTCATCTTTAATCCTTTGCTGAAATGTTAGCAGCCCCAATTGTAAACTTTTGTCCAAATGACTAGGAGTAGATTTGTTTTCTCATCTGTGTTCTTAGCACTTTGTGTATGAATAAATTAATGAATGATCACACAATAATTGAGTGTTTATTTTCCTTTTAGACTCACTGGCAGAGTCTATTTCTCTCCAGGTTGGCATAGAGCCTGTCATACTCTAAGACTGAAAGCATTGAGAATTAAATAAGTGGGACATAAGAAACATGAATTGTAACCATCATTTGGAACATTTTGTTTTTTGTCTGCACTATTAAAGAAGAAAATTGGGAAAAATTGAAGATTACCTAAAAATTATAGTGAAATAAATACAATGTTAGGGAGAGTAGAGATCAAAGCAAAAGATATATTTAATATTTTCCATAACAGATAAAGCAAATTATGAAATTTTTGGTATTGGACATCTTAGGACAATAACATAAAATAATCCTAGAGCCTTTTAGATTTGATCCACTACAGTGAAAGTGTTATGCTCAATTTGCCAGTTACCGATTATTTTTCCCTTTTCAGTTTTTCTAACAAGAGAACCTCAAGTGAGATTTATCATAAATTCAAGAATTCAAATATTTGAAAATATTACAACTATAAGGAATACCGGTTTTGATCATCTATTTTAATAAGCATAACTGTGTATCCTTCTAATAAACAAGTTGCTATGGTGTAGACCTAAAATATCCCCTAAAATTCATCTATTTTAATAAGCATAACTGTGTATCCTTCTAATAAACAAGTTGCTATGGTGTAGACCTAAAATATCCCCTAAAATTCTTTCGAGGTGACTAGATCACGGGGTGCTGTACTCATTAATGGGCGCGTTCTCTGATTTCACAGCTGAATACCATGAGGTGGACCTGGGTCAGAAGAAGCGGACCCCAAGGAGTGTGACCCAGAAGGGTGGATTCTTGTCACGCTCATTTTCTCTCTCTTTGCTTTCTGGCTCCCTGGGGAGGAGCCACACCCTCCTGCCACCCCCTTTTGCCTTATAGCCCTCTGAGCAGGAGAGTGAACCCTCCGAAGCTGTGAGCCAAATTAAACTTCTTTCAGCTGTGGGGTGTCAGGTATTCTCTTCCAGTGGCAGGAAATCTAGCTCTACACAAATTATCTCCTGTTGTTCAAATTCCCTATGTGAAGCATGGTGTTAGACTCCACCCAGAAAGGTGTATGTTGTTTTATTTAAATTTATTTAGTTGTAACAATTTTGCAATTAGTACACGCGATGTTAAGATGTTAAGATGCAGGGTTATTTCTTGTTATTCATTATTGTATCCAAATTTCTGCCAGCACCGGGCATGGATACAAATATTTCTTTTGCTATGGGTTTTAAAGCAAAGGAGCATAAGACTCACACACTTTTGCTTGTTTAAATTTTACTATATACAAATCAGATGGAAAACCAGAAATTATTTATAGTTATTATAACTCCTAAGTCATATATTTATCCCAGTGTGCTGTGAGCAGTGAAAGTACAGCTGTTTAATTCTCACTCACTGTCTTACTCTGAGGACAAGTCACCCGAACATGGCCTTGAAATGAAAAATTAGTTGCATTTGAGTCCTGACACCTGAAACAACATAATGCTGAAACAGCCCGTAAAATGCTAATCATTCCACAGTATAGTTTTGGATTCTTGTTGAGATTTTTTTCCTTTGTTTCAGAGAATTTAAGAAAACCTAACATAACTTAATCCAAATTATAAAACTGCTTCTCCTTTCATTTATTTTCTGGGCAAAAATACAGAAATTAGAAAATAATACCTATAACTTTTTTTTTTGTACTGGGAGTCGAACTCAGGACCTTGAGCTTGCCAGGCAAACGCACTGAGCTACGTAACCAGCCCAACATCTCCAAGGACTAAGATAGAGTTATTCTGTGAAATTTGGAGGTGTCAATTGGGTTTTCATGCTTTTGCAAAACTGTATTATCAAATGCCAATCAAATCTAGGGGAGCAGCTGTACCATGGTTCCCGGCCTGGAATTCCTCTTTGCCCTGTTGGTCCTCAACCCCGCACCTCACCCCTTACCTCCCCAGCGCTCCTCGCAGACCGTGAAGAGCGTGGTTTTGTTGCCTAAGCCGGGCAGCATGGTGCTGCACTCCATGACGATGGCCTGGGGGATCATTATGATGCAGGAGACGATCCAGATGACGACGATGCTGTTCCGGGCCCGCTTGGCGGTGCTCTTGAACATGAGTGGGTGGCAGATGGCGTACCACCGGTCCAAGGCGATGCAGCTCAGCGTGAGCACAGACACAGACACCGACACGGTCTGGAGGAAGGAGGGCGGAGCACAGGAGAAGAGCCAGGTGTGAAGGGCAGTCTGCTGACAGCTACTGCGTGGGGAAGGCAGCACAGCAGACAGGAGCACAGAGGCTGCCCCTGCACAATTCACGCAAGTGATTTAGGTTTTATGAAAAACTATGCCAAAAAGAGAAAAAAAAATAGAAGAATGTTGGAAAAATGTGTATTTCGTGGTAGACAACGGAAAGATTCTATGGAAAACTTGCAATCTCTTTATGCTAAATTTTTATACTATGACCCCCTTTGAACAATTACTATCACTATTTTGTTTGGCAAGTTTTTTATCAGTAAGGTAAATTGTAGCTTCAAATGGAAGAAAGAAAACACTTATGCTCAGTCTGAACTCTAAATTCTCTTTTATTTAACTAGAAGAATACGCTGGCTGGTCACAGTGGCACCTGCTACCAATTCCAGCACTGGGGAGACTGAAGCAAGAGGGTCACAAGTCCGATTCCAGCGTGATACCTATATCTGTATATATCTATATCTATCTATATCTATATCTATATCTACATCTATCTATCTATCTATCTATCTATCTATCTATCTATCTATCTATCTATATCTCAATAGAACTTGGACAGAAAAAAAAGGAAAATGGGTGGCCCACTTCTATGACAGCAGAGGGAGGCTCACCACTATTAATTAAGTCAAATATAATGAATTATATAATGCACATCAACTGTTTTCCAGGTCTGGGGACACAGTTCTCAGAAAGAAAAATAATTCCTTCTGACATAGAGCTTTATTGCAATAGAGATAACAAACATAACTAAGAGATATTTGATGAAGACTCTAAGGGGGAATTTGGAGAGTAAAGTCAGAATCAATGTTTTGTACACACACACACACACACACATATACATTCATACACATATATACATACATGTATATACACATGCATACATACATATATATCCATGTACACATACACACATACATATATGTATGTATGTATGGTTTTTTGCTTTTTGAGACAGCGTCTCACTATGTAGTTGAGACTGACCTGGAATTCACTATGTACCCCAGGCTGATCTCAAACTCACAGCAATCCTCTTGCCTCAGCCTCCTGAGTACTGGCATTACAGGCATACGCCACCATACCCAGCTCTATTGATATGTGTTCTGGGCAGGAATCTCTGCTTCTTATGCTAGGACCTTCTGTGTTAATGCATTCTCTCTGGGTATGAGTGAGTGAAGGGAAGCTAACAGTCGGTGCAGACCAGGAAAAGGGACTCTGTGGCAAGTGACAAGGTGGTCTTCCTGTCCTCACTCTCCCACTGGTGAGTTGCATAATGTGGGTTTGTCTTATAGCTCTGGCCATGTGTGTGTGTGCCTCTGTTTTTGTTAAATGAAGGAAAATGAAAAGATGACATTTTTATAGTTCTGATTCTTTAGGTTCTCTCTGGAAGTGTAATTGGAATAAATTCTGCAGCCAATGGGCAATGTCTGATCCTCATCGCACCCTGTGATCTTGGTTAAGGTACTTAACCTGTCTATTCTTTAGTTTTCTCCCCTGCAAAACCAGGCAAATAGCACCCAACCATTGCACTGTAGGGAGTTATTTGAAATGTAAAACTCCTAATACAACTCTACCACAGAAATGCTGTGTGCTTGCTATTACTTATATAATTATAGCAAAAATAATGATGATTGCATTCATTAGTTTTATCTTCCATTTGAGAGTTGGGAGATCCAGATCATAACTAAGCTTTGCTAAATTCTCGGAGGCCAGTTCATCATTGAAAGTGTAATCTTAAAGGACTGAACTCTGCCAGAACAGGCTTAGGTTGTTTGATGACTCCTGAGAATTTTTTAGTGCTCTGTTAGAATGCCTTCAAGTCTACCTGAGAAACATCTCACTCCTAGCCCAACCTCCATTCCTCTGGGCAAATAAACCAAGATCAACGGCTCCTCAATTCCATTGCTAACCTCTAAAGAGAACTATGGATCTGCACAGTTGATTTTCTCCGCGATTGGGCTAGGGCTGTTTTTATCCTCTCTAGCAATTAGACATGTATACCTTTCATCAGGCGTAGTGATTTATTATGCATGATTTCTAATCAACCCGGATGAATGAAATAGACGTAGCATGATTCAAATCTAAATGTCATTTTCAGTATTTCCTACTACTATTAAACAGTAACAGTTCCTACCACTTCCTGTGAAAGACCACTGCCAAGAGTAGACTGGGGTACCGTGTAGGATGTAAAAGAATGAGTGGCTGTTATTCTAACGGGAGACTCCAGTGACTCTAAAGTCCAAGGCATCAATGCACCCTTGACAGTGTGTTCACAGTTACTGTCTTAATCTCCGCAGACCTGTAAGGTACTTTAGTATGTAATGAGCTTCCAGTTTGCAAGATTTTCTTAGAAGGACATCAGATTTCATACTATCATTTATGAGTATAAATGAGAGCTTTATAACTGCTTTCCATTTTCAGGAGAGCTCTTCTATGTGTCTTCTTTATTTAGAGCCTGGCATGGTGTTAGTTTGAGCCATTCTGGTAGGAAGTCATTTGGGAAACAAATTCAGTGCGGGTTATTAGTGTTGCAAATGTCAGCTAAACTTCCTCTGCCTTTATGTCTTAGGCCTTTCAACTATACCATGGGTACTCCATGCACAGAGCAAACAAAACTATTAAATTTTGTAGAGAACACCCTTATTTTATACTAGCATGTAGTGCTGTCTAAAGATATCAGAGATCTGTGACAAGTAGGAATGGACATTTTGCCAAAACAAGAATTTGAGTGATGGGCACTAACAGACTGGAAGGTGACAAAATAGTCTTTCTGTCTACCAAGCATCTCCCACCTCTATCGCACTTGTGTTTTGATGTCTCTCTCACTCTTTTTTTTTTTGCATTTCTTAGGCAGAAGCTCCTAAGCAGTTTTTTTAAAATCACCCTGAAAAAGTAGCCAACTGCTGCTGTCACTAAATGAAATAAATGACACTTATTCAGCCAATACATTGATAAATATTAATGGTCTTCAAATTATAGGATGATTAAATATTTAAAGGGTCACTTTAATTATTCAGCTAAGACATAATACATCTGTAGAATTCTAAGTTGTTTGAGCACTTGCCAAAGTGTCAAAACCACTCACAAATCTAAAGATTGTCCTGCATTTAGAAGAAAATGACCACATATATAATCGCAATTAATAAATGTCCAAAGAATATTAAATAAACCTAATAACCTTAAAACATGGCTGCCAGTTATGTAATATGTTTTTCAATATTCAGTGGGATGTAAATAATATATCAGAGTAAAAAGTCCATTGGCTTTAAAGTATCTCTCCTATTGCACATTGGTGCAGTTCATTGCATTTAAGAAAATTCCATGGGAAAGGATCGACAATCAGTGAACAAATCTCCTTGTGTGCTTACACATGTCCACCAAGAAGTAACACTCAGTGAGTTAATGGCTCGACCTAGTTTTTTCCATCCATGCTTGCCTATTAGTTTTGTCTTTGGCCTCTGGAGTCCAGTAGGCCACAAACTACTCATGTGGAAGCAGACAGAATCACCGTGGCATTGAGGGTGTTCCCTCCACTGTAGGACTTGCTAATAAGTTGAGCTCACTGACAAATGTTGCCCGAGGCCTTGAGATTTAGGCCTCTCATCACTCACTGTTTATTTAACTCTGCCTTCAGTTTGGTTTGTATTTTAGTGCTCACAGAAGTCTCCAAAATTTCTAGCCTACAACGAGATGTCGCTGTGCATCAGAGCAGGACTGCACCTGCCACCGGTGACACACCCTTCTCTCATCCCTCTGTCCCTGGAGCTTCTGTTTCACAGAACCGGAAGTGTTCTCAGCAAGTTGAGGATTCTGGGCAACTAGGGCCATCCTGAGAAGTAGAAGGCTCCTGTGCAATTACTGTAACTCGGAGGCCTAAACCATTTGCTGGAAGTACCACAGAGATGCCAAACTATTATAATTCTCTGGTATTTATGATTTTCTCAGCTTCTCTATGAAAACACCATCCAATTTTCATGCTTTTTGTTTTATGAAGATGATTTTCTCTGTCGTTTATTTTCTTTTTCTCCAAAATTTTGCTACTGTTCATTTTTTAATCCATCATTTCAAGTGGGCTGATCTAAACTAACTTCTGTGATGTTTTCAATAATATGTGACCCTAAAAATTATCACTTCTTTTTTTTTTAATTTTATTGAGTTTATTGGTACATTTTAGGGATACAGTACAGTTACATTATCACTTCTTTTTGTAAGACGTTGTTGAAGAACTATTGAGCTGAGTGAATTATTGTAACATTTTGGTTTAACAGACTAATCAGTACAATATCTAGTAATGGGCTATGTGTAGCTCCCCCCAAACTTTCTATTTTTTTTCTTCTTGCAAATATAATGATCACCACCTTGAAGACTAGAGAGAAGACAGTCCTGGCTGGAGGGAGGCTATGGGAAGGCAAGCAGAGAGTAGCTACTGTCTAGCCCTGCCTAGTTCTTGGAGTGAATACCTTTCTTTCAGTAGTGTAGCTGAGGACACTATATTAGAATCTTTTTTTCTCCAAAGATTGTAGAGTACAGGAACATCAGAAAATTACTCTCTGAAGGCATTCATTATTCCTAACTTGTAATGGCAATGAGCTATGGAAAAGCTTGCTTATCTATTGACCAATCAACCATCTATTGGTGACAATGATAACTGATTTTAAGATTATACTATCAGATCACTAGAGGATAATCATCTCACCAATAGATTCATGTAAATTACCTAAGTAAATTGTCACAGCAACCATATGAGATACATCTTACTAAAAATATTGTCTTTCTTATTTATTTATTGACACCAGGTATTGAACTTGAGTCCTTGCACTTGCAAGGCAGGAGGCAGAACCTCTGAGCTAAATCCCTAGCCCAATATTTTCCCTTTAAATAAATGAATTACAAAGAGGTTGATAGCATCCCACCTAAAAGACAGAACACAGGTTCCAGACCAGGCAATTTGATTCAGAACTGAAAATAAAGCATATAATCCATTGTAATCCTTTGACCATAGAGCTCTTAATTCTTCGGGATGCAAAGAAAACCACTTATAAAAAAAAAACAGATACCCTTGATTATTTGGACTAAGACTCAGTTATTAATTTGTTCAAGTTCATTGTTCAACAATAGAAGAATTAAGAATTTTAAAAGTCAAGTATTTGTAAAACATTGAAAGATAATTTCACAGTTTTGTTGCTTTAATTTTATCCAAATTTTAACTTGTATCTTCAGGAATCTCCAGCATCATCTTCCATAAGTTTGCAAATACCTAGAGAAATACATTTCTTTCTTAACTCGCCCATTAATACATCAGAGGTCATAACTATGATGGAAAACATTTTTAGAAGTTGCTGGGGGAGCTAAAATGTAGGAAAAGGGATTACCTGTAAGTAAGGAATCACTTTGCAGAGGGACTGTCCAAAGAACCAGGTCTCTGTGATATCGACCACCAGCGTGGCTGGAAGGCAGGTGATCGTCACTAGCACGTCGGCCAGAGAGAGGTTGACTATGAAGTAGTTGGTTACTGTCCTCATGTGGTGGTTCTTCCACACTGCCACACAGACTACACCAGAGAAAATAAGGAACAGGAACTCAACAAAGAAATCAGCTCCCAGTGAGAAAACTCTGATAAGATTCCTAGCAAATGCATGTATAGCACATATTTAGAAAAGGAAAGACAGTGCAAGGCTGTGCTGTGCTCTGACTGTGTAAATGCTGAACACATGCTTAAGATGATTTCATTTGCCCTGTTGGACATTTTTCAGTTAATTATAATGGGTATGTTTATTTTGATTTGATTTTGAACTGCATATCCCAGAAGTTCTTAAAGAACTGTCTGATGTATTTATGTATTCCCTCAGCACTCTGTATGCAGAACTCCAAAACAATAGTTGGTGGGCTGAGATGAACTAAGTGTTAGCAACTTTCAATGAACTCATGAGTTTTTCTCACCTGTGGCTTTGACCTACACCTGCGCTGAAAATCTGAAAGTTCTAACAGATGAAGAATCTTATCCTTAAAACACAACAACAGCCAACATTATTTAGCCCCACCTAGAGACCAATACTGAGCCGGATGGTTCACATAATCTCTGTTTTTAATCCTGAAAACAACCTTAATGGAAGAGGACATTGCTCACACTTTATGCATGAGATGTCTGAGATGGAGGAAATTCATGACACTTGCCTAAGAACACATGGCTTATTAGTATAAAACTACAGTTACGACTGGGATTTGGTTCCAGAGGAAAAGCTTGTCTTTCTAACACGCAGGCTCCTTCTTTCATGAAAATGAGGGAGCTGTGACAAAGCACATATAGATTCTGGAAATACAGACTTCCTGTCTGGCACTCACAATGGCCTCTAAATATCACCCTCACATCAAGAGAGCTTTCCAATTCTTTTACAGCAGGTCTCCCTCGTTGCCTGGTAGAACATTCCCAGTCTAAAAGCAATGTTATCTCACTCAGTTGCTCTTTCCTAAAAGAGCATTCAGTTCCTCTATTTTCTGTCCTCCACATTCCCAGTATAGACAAAGGCCATGAAATCACGGGCAGCAGAAGTGTACAGGTATATTCACTGCTACCCACATCTGTCGATGCATTTGATGTAGTGAAAATAGCTGTGCGTTTGTCTGGGGTATCATTAGCCTGTCAAAGATGTCACCTACACACTCAGATGATGCTGTGATTAGTAATGCTATACAGTGTAGAAATAAAAGCACATTTGGTTAAATTTAAGTCCCTAAATAAAGGTTTTATTTTGACAATTATGTACTATTCATTAAGAGTTTTGGATGCTGAAAAATGCTTTCATTCACTCCAAAGAGTAAAATGGCCCATCAGTTACCAACTGATGTCAATTTAATAAAATACTTGGATTTCTGAGGGTTTAATTTTGAGTACTCCACATCTCTCTCCAACACATTAAAATCCAAAAACTCAGATAAGCCTGAATTAGGTACATTCTTTATTGTTTGAAAATAGAGTTCTTGAAAGATTTATTTCCATATACTCACTCCTCACTTCTAGCATTATGAAAAACATTGTCAGAATTTTTAATCTGAAAATGGGGGAAAACATTGTACTTCTGTCACAAATCTAGATCTAGGAAAAGAGATAATATTGAAAAATGCAGTTCGTTGTACTTTGACTGTAATCGCTCACAGTCTGAAGACGAGGAAGGACAGTGGTGTGAGTGACATTAGATACAATGAGATGATGGAAACCTGTGTCCAATGGAGGTTCTTCCAGGACTTACTGTGTGCCACGCCCTACTCTAAACACTTCAAATCATCAACCGGCTTCTTGGGAATAATGCTACAGAGCCAACATTATTAGTATCCTTCTTAACAAGTAGGGAACCAAGGAGGGAAGGTTGACTCACCTAATGTCTAGTGAGTGCTAGAGTTTGCACTTAAACCCTTTCTTGCACATCTTTTGGGGGCCTAATTGATTTGCGCCTTTACCTCGGAGTTCTAGAAAGCCATGAAAGGGAAAAAAGAAATCTAGAAATAAGATTATTGGGACAATTGAAGAAATTTGAAATTTGAATTTGGATTTCGAGCTGGGTTAAATTAAATGTTTACACTCTATCCTTGCTATATTGACAGACTGTGGCCATGCTTACTTTGTGGGATATTGCTGCTCTGGGAAAAACATCAGCAGACCCTTTATATACAAAGCAGAGTTTTATCCTTCTTTGTCCTGCTTCGTCTACTGTGAGCAGACTCCAGATCATCAGTACAGGGCTCTATCAGAGCTGCACACCTCCCTAGGTGCCATCTCCTAAATCTGTAAGAAACAAACAGCCATTTGCTCCCTCATTCATCCAGTTGAGTCTTCAAGGTACAAAGCGAATGTCACTTTCTCATAGCACAGGAAAACGGATGGAAATTTAAGTTCATTACGTTTTCCTGGACTACATATCCTCTGCATAATAATATCCTTCCTTTCACTCCTCAGTGAATGATTGAAATTTCCAAACTATCTCCTACCTCTATCACATTCTTCCCTTATTTTTGCAAATACTCAATGTCACATGGTTGTGAAGATTAGCTCAAGTGATTTTCCCTTCTCTGCTATATCTGTCTCTACTCTTCTGTGCTCTATCAATTAATGCTATTCCTATTAGTAATATTAATTCTTTAATTTCAATGGAAATCTCTTTTCTTTACAAGTCTTCAGATAGCAATTCCGCCATTAAGGTCTAGTTGAACTTTGCCCCTCTATCTTGAAGTGTTCCCCATAGAATGCGTAGACTTCCAGGAAATGTTTAAGATCTCATTCTACATTAAATATATTTCTGATACTCACCATTGCTCATACAATTCCATTGTCTGGAAATGCCCATAATTCATTTCGATTCATTTTTCAAATAATTAAATGCTTCCCAGCCAACCAATTAGTCAAATAAAAACTTGCTGAATCACAAAAGATCTAATGAGCCTAAATTTCTTTTTTGGGACCCTATCATACTTTCTACATTTCACGGTCATGAGTTACAATCTAAAGTTATGAATCATTGTTGGTGTTTTTGGACATTTATCCCTTTATTGGCACAATGTTATTATATATCATTATTTTCTGCTTTTCCTTATTTTTCTTAGTGTCTACAACTTTGCTACCAACAAAAATGTTGCCTAGAACATACTTTGCAATAACTATGAATGAGATTGACTTCCTCATAAATTTACAGTACGTTGCTTCTTTGATGTGCTACATTCCCCCAAGAGTAAATTCTTAAAAAAAAAATAGAAAAATCCTATGGCCAAAATAACATTTACTTTCTTTATTTCCTTTGAATGAAATCATAGAGCTGATAGAGTTTAGTGAGCTATTGTTCTCAGACTTCCACATAGTATTCTCTAATGGGCTCCAAGAAGTCCCAAAACCTTACTCTGAAATATTTGAAATCAGTTCTATGAGTGAACATAATTCATCAATGTTAAGGCCTTTTTGCAGATAGTCTGCACTTAAAACCTGCCTCCTGGGCTGTGTATGTGGCTCATTGGCAGAGTGCTTACCTGGCAAATATGTTTCATTATCATCGCTTTTGTTGAAAATAAAAATAGTCTATTTCCAAAGCAGAGAACAATTAGACATGTAGAGGTGAAAGAAAACAGTGGAAAGAAAGACACTGAAATAAGCATTTCTGAAATGCTGAGGTGCCACAAAGATGGAAATCCATTTCTTCCTTTGCCTTTCACCTAGTGCCTTGGATTGCCACCTCTCTCCCTGTCAGCACATGCACTGTGTCTGCATGCCAAGCAGGAAGGAGTGGATCAGGCTGCAGGACAGCATCTGCAGGCTATGATGCAAATAGAGATTTTTAAAAAATAATATACAAATATGGTCTGTAGAAACGGCCAATCTACTTGCTCGCTATTTGAAGGGTCTAAAACTAAAAGACCAAACTGACTTTCACATGGGAAAAGAAATGTTGATTTTTTTGTTGCTATTTTTTTCTTTTCTTTTGGTACCAGGAATTGAACTCAAGGTCTCCCACTTGCCAGGCAGATACTGTACTGTTAAGGTACATCCTGAGCCCTAAATATTGATTTGTAAAAGCCCTTTTCTATTAAAATCTGCACTTATGATAAATTAAATTTTGTTTCAATATGAACAAAGTCACTTTCTCAAATTATAATTGTGCTTAAAAATTAAAACCAAAGTGATATACAATTAATCTACTGGCAGTCTCTTCAAAGAACAAGTAAACTGAAAGAGTGAGGTTATAGTCCTTATTAAACATACAGTATATATAATTAGCATATATGTTAATTATATATAATGACTAGTGTACTACTCAGACCCTTAAAAGATCTTTGAAACATATGTTAATCTTATTTTGAAGATTATCAAATTCATTTACTGCTTTAATGTGAGCAAAGAGTTTGGACTTCATGAGGATAGAAAAAGGGCAGACACAAAAGGACCAGGACTGCATGCTTCTCTTTATATGTGGCACTCAGAGCAGCCACAGCTCAAAAGTCAAAGTAGAATGGTTGTTGCTGGAGATCAGGACATGGGGAAAGTGAACACTACTATTTAGTGGACAAAGAATTTCAGTTTTGGAAAACAGAAAAAGGTTGGGAGATTGGTAGAGCCAATGATTAGAAAACAATGCTAATACACTTAACCTTACTGAATCACACACCTAAGAGGATAAATTTCAAGTTTTACATATTTTACCACAGTTTAAAAAATAACTTTCTATGAGAAGGGAGACCACAGTGGAAAATAAAACTTTTTAAACCAATAATAATTTTCCTTAAAATCCTTTCTGGTCACATCAGTTTTCTTTCTCTAATTAAAATTAGTTTTAACTGATACACTAATATGTAAAGATTGTATATATTCATGGAGTAATATGCTTGTGTATATTGTGTAATCTTAAAATCAGGTTAAAGATATCTTCTCAACACTTATCCCATCTTTGTAGGGAAAACTTTCTAAATCTTTTCTTCTAGCTTTCTGAAATAGCATCTTATTGCTGTCTGTAGTCAGTCACCTTACCGTGTAACTGTTTAACAGAGCTACCTTACTCCTATTGAATTTTAGAA